GTTTTTAATTAAGTTCTGTGGAGATGGTGATCAAAACCCTCCAGCAACAGAGTGTACAGTTCAGAAGAGAAAGGAACTCTTTCTCTTCAGCAAGGCTTTTGACAGGGTCCCGCGTGATCTTCTCACAAATAAATTGGAGAAATGTGGGCTAGATAAAACTACTACAAGGTGGATAGATAACCAGCTCAATAGCCACAAGCAAAGGATAAGTATTAACAGGTCCATGGCAGAATGGCAGGAGGTTTCAAGTGGATTCCCACAGGGTTATGTCTTGGGCCCGGTGGCATTGAGGGTTTCTTGAGCAAGTTTGAAGACAGCACAAAACTGGGAAGGATTCTGAATGCTACGCTTTGGGAGGAATAATCAAAAACACAAATATAAAATGGGTAACCCCTGGCTGTATGGCAGCACTTTGGGAGTCTTGGTGGACCATAGACTCTGTCTGCAGTATGATGCAGCCTCACAAAAAGTGAATGCAGCTTTGGGATGCATCAGTAAAAGGCGCATTAGGTGCAAGACACTGGAGGTGATAGTACCTTTATACTAGGCACGGGTTAAGCCTCATCTGGAGCACTGAGTTCTGAGTTGTAAAAACATTCTGAGCTGTTATCTTCTTTCAAATCCTTTGCTCTATTATTTTTCAGCCAAAAATCAAGTGAAATCTAGGAGCTAGCATTTTCTCAGGGGTACGTCAAGTCTAAAAGTTGAGAATCACTGATCCAAACTGTCATTTCCCACAGGAATGTCCTGACCCCCAGGCTATGGAACAGTTTGGTTGTAGGCACTTGTAATGGGGTTGCTAAGGATAAAGGTAGCAGGAGGCAGGCTGAGCAAAGCAGTCAGCTGGCTCGAGGCCAACAAGAAAAAAAAGGAGCACAGGGGCTGAGTTGCCCCCAGGGGGCAGGCAGAAGTCAGCCAGACTGTAAGGCACCAGGCTAGAGTGGCAAGTCCAATGTACAGTGAAGGTAGAAGTAAAGCTAAATGGTGGAAGCTGAGCAACAGTGAGCAGAGATCCAGAAAGATGGGACTGCATAGCAGTAACTCAGCAAGTGATATCCATGTTGGGGAGCAACAGACATAGAAGTTACCAAATTTAGCACTAATTACCTGAGCCAAGTAACTGCAAATAACTGCAAAGCCTAGGCCTTGTGTTAAGATATTGTGGAGTTGGGTAATTTGGGTCCCCAGTCTTGTCCCATGTTCCTGAGTGGGACAGGAGAAGACAGTTATTCTGTTCTGTGTGGGTTGACTCCTGAAAGGGAACTGCTGAGAATAAAAAATGGTTGGAATGCTGTGGGCATAAAGCCCCACAAATAATACTGGAAGATAGTCCACTGGTAGACATAGTAGACTGTTATTTGGGAGTAGAGTCACAGAGGACCTGCCCTGTGAACCCTGCAGCGTAGGATGACTAGTTGTGGGGTCAGGCAGAAATAGACAGGAAGAGGTGAGGAGGGAAATGCACAAAGTGAATGTGCACAAGACTTGACCTGCATGACTGGTATGAGAGCAGGAGGTTAGCCTCTGTTGTTAGAAGTGGTTGGGTGTTATTAGTGTTGTCAAAAGATGGTCATTAGCGCTGTTATCCAGTGCGGACTCCATCAGCATTGTTAGGGAGTTTGGGGCTACTGGTCACATCAGGCTCTTTCAGTTTGGGTGACGATACTGTTGGGATGCTGTCTGTGGTGCTGTCATCACTGCAGTATGCACTATATGCCCCTAATGACCTCAGTGTTACACAATGACCACGGCTCAGTGGGCACTAACATCCAACTAGTAGCACTGAACCTAGACTTCTGGAAGTCCTGGGGCTGTAGCAAAACCCCCGGTTTTTCTTTTTTTTCTTCTAAAATGCATTCCGTCCCCTTCCCCAACCATTTCTGACTTTTTCTTTCCCTCTCTATTCCCTATAGATAAGTATAAGTGAGCTAAGACATAGGATAATCTTCAGCATTTTATTTTGGTAGCAAGTTGTATTTGTTTTGTTTTTTCTCCTTTATATTGTATAATTATTATGTTTATATTGATTTTTACTGTTCTATATTACTGTTTTACTGGTACTATATGATTTAGGCCTACATATGTAAGTTAGCATAAGTCATGTCAAGTTTCCATTTTGTTTGTCAAGTCTCCATCCTGTCCCCATGCCCGGTTGTGTAACCCATGACTCACACCTACCCCTCCTATGTAACTTGGTTCCTTAATGAATGGGGATGAATGAGGGTGCTTGAGAGACAATGGCAGTAGGTCTAAAAATAGCTCCCTCTGGTTGACCGAACCATCAACACCAATACCTGAACCAATGACCCAGCTCTTGAAACCACCTGGAGCCCTCTGGGACAGGACTGATATTGCCTGGACCAGGCCCTCCCCATAGGAGATCAGGGGTAGTCTGCCCCATAAAAAGGGGTAGTGAAAACTGACTCCTTGGGACCCCCTCTTCATCTGGACTAGCGCCATGCCACACCACCGATCCACCCAGAGGCCCTGCTGGCGACCCCCCTCTGGACAACACCTACTGGACAAGGACCCGTTTCCAGTCTGGATAGGTAGCTATCACTCCCCACCCCCTCTTCAACCAAAGACTTGGACTCTGCTTCTCTTCCCCACCTGGACTCCAACCCTTCCACTGAGTCTCTTTCTCTTGCTGCCATTGTGAGTGCTTTTGTGTGTGTGTGTGTGTGTGTGTGTGTGTGTGTGAACCAATAACTTCATAGGGCCATGCAGTGTGTTGTCTGTTTAATAAACCTGTTATTTTGAAACCCCGAGTTGGGTTTTTGTCTGTTTCCTGAATGTTTCCTCCTTGCCACCACTTATCTGTCACTCCAGTCTCTAAGCTGTCAGCCGGTTTCCATCCCCAAGCTCCCAGGTTTCTGCCTCTCTCTCTTTCTTTCCTGGCTGTCTTCTCCTTGCCACCACTTATCTGCCCCCCACCCCCAATATGTCAGCTGTCTGCCTCAGTTTCCAGCCCCAATCTACCTTAAATAACCTCAAGCCTCAGTTCCTCAGCCAGCTTCTCTGTAGTCCACCAGTTCTAATCTCAGTTCTGTCAACTTTCACTCCCTGCACTTTAACTCTCTCTCTCACCTTAACCTTCTCCAAAGTATCCCAGGTACCCCAAGCACACACATACATACCATGCCATCGAAGTTAGGAACTTACCCATGTGTAGGTGGGTTGTATGTGTATGAACTGGTGAGTGTGTGTGTGTGTGTATGTCATTATGTGTATGATATATGAAGTAGTGATCTGTGTAGATGTACTGAGTGTACGAGTATGGACAATTGATTTTTGTCTAACTTTTGGGGTGTATAGTGTCTATGCTTCAATTGGTGATAGGTATGCATGTGCCTAGGCTAGTTTGGATGTGTATGTGCCTGAGTTGGTAGTGTGTATGTGTATGCATCCAGTTGATTCATGTGTTTGTATATGAGCAATTGTGTCACACCCTCCTGTCTAACAGTGCAATATTGAGATCCTGAGAGTTGTCCTGACCCCACAGGACAACAGGCTGAACTTTTAGTATCAGGCCCCCCTTCACCAGAGATAATTATAATAATAATTTAAAAAATACCATTTTAAGGCCTCCTTTCTGTCTAGGCCCTGTGCAGGTGCCCAGTTTACCCAGTTTGCCTGTGTCTGGCCCTGCCAACTAGTACATGGTACTAGCTGGGTTATTTATTTGCAGGCATGGTACAGCCATAAAATGCAATGCCCCTAAGATCAATACATAACATTAAGAGTCCCAGGCTCCGTTTTATTCACCAATCAAAACAACTTCATGTTTACACCATGCACATCCTAGTTCTCACTAATTACTACTGTACTAAAACAACTTTAAAGACATGATCCACATCCCAGTTCTTGCCAGACTGTGCGACCCACTCACTAAATAGAGAAACCTATTTACCAGGTCACTCTGATCCCTCTCTTGGTGTCCTGTACTGGTCTTATCAGTCACTCTTTATCTGTTGGCCTTGCAAGGCACTTTTAAGGCCTACTAATATAATTTTCCCAGCTCTTCCACATAAGTGACATATGGTAACCTAGTTCTGTTCTTTAAGAGGTCTACTATGGTCAGTGCTGTTAACAGGGTCTCTATGTGATTTGTATATGCACTGATTAATGGTATTACTAATCCATACTCCAGAAAGGCCTACAGACTCATGATATAATTGCACTTCTGACTGGAGACCTCTCCAGAAAGACAAAAAATCAAAGTGTAGTAGGGATTGTTGGCAGAGTCACTTGATTCCTCTTATTACAGCACCTGTCAACACTCCTGTTGAAGCCAAGAATGCATGAATGACAGGGACAGAAGGACAATAAGTCAGAGGAAACCTGACTGTATAACCTAATGATGAGGGCTCTCTCCCGTAGGCTGCAGATGTCAGTAACTGAAAAACCATGATAACAGGTGCAGATAATGGACACAGAGGGCACGTCTACAGGACAGTCGGTCAAGCGGTCGGTCAGACCTGGCTGACTGCTCCTCCCAGCAGATATCTGGGTAGTTTAGGTTCCCCATGACAATGACATCCCTAGACCCAACTGCCTCCCTAAGCTGTACTGAGAGATCCTGGTCCAACTCAACCCCTTTGCAGGGTGATCTGTAGTAGACACCTACCGTAAGATCCCTTTCACCTTGCCCCCCTTAAAGTTTGACCCATAGTGGCTCTGCCTGACCTTCCTCCACCCCAAGGCTAATTCTTGATGATGTGAGTTGCCCTTTGACATAGAGGGTGACCCCCCGCCTTTCCTCCCGGTCCTGTCCCTTCTATATAGTGTGTATCCCTGAATGCCCACCACCCAGTCGTGGGTAGGATCCCATCAGGTTTTGTGATCCCCACTAAGTCTGGATTTTTCCCTGCTATCAGAAGGCAAAGTTCCTCCTGCTTGTCCCCCATACTATGTGCATTAGTGTACAGACACGTGGGGCCTCCTGAGAGTGTATGTACCTCCCCCTTGCTCCCAGGACTGCTGTGCCCATTGTTGCTTACCTGGGTTTCTGTTTCTTTTGTCGCCTTGCTAGTTGAAGTATCCCTTCCTCCTTGGGCAGCCCCTTCCCCCGATGAAGCTAGTTTAAAGCCCACCGAACGAAATCAGCCAACCTAGAGGAGAAAATGCATTTACCCTTGGGTGAGAGATGTAGTCCTTTCCACCCCAGCATACCCTCAGCCCAGAAATATGGGTCATTGTCCAGAAATCCGAAGCCTGCCTCATAGCACCAGCTCCGAAGATGCCAGTTAACTACACCAATACAGGCCTTGTGGCATCTACTTCTCTCCACTTACCGGGAGGATGGAGGAAAATACCACCTGGCCTTCCATCTCCTTGAGTAGATGACCCATGGCCTTGTACTCTTCCATGATGGAGTCAGTCTTACCCTTAGATGCATCATTAGTCCCCACATGGACCACAACTAGAGGGTAATAGTCCAAGGGCTTAATGATCTTTGGGATGGTCTCTGTGACCTCCCGAATCCTCACACCGGGCATGCAGCAGACCGCCCGTGACCAGGGGTCGGAGCGACAGATTGGGCCATCAGTTTCCCTAAGGAGGCACTATTGTTGCTGGGCACTAACCATGTGGCAGCAATACTGCATAGTAGAAATGAGTTCCTGCACAGTAGTTCATTGCTACCACACAATAGTGTTGGCAAAAACCATGCGGTGATGGTACCGTGTAGTAACGTGAGTTACTGAACAGTCATTAGTTCTTGCTTATACAAGTACTAAATGATTGTGCAGTAATAACTGCGTAGTGGGTGACTCATGTAGATGTGCCCACTATGTTATGGATAATATGGGCTTAAGCTTGCATGGGTTGAAGTGTTCAACATGCAATCCATAAATAATAGCCTGGGAATGTAGAATAACATCTGTTACTCAAGGCCACCAGTATTGACTAGGGCAGGTAAGGATAAGTGCTTTTTGGAAAACATTACTAGCAGTTAAAGGTAACAGTTTTAATAACTTGATGTTTTAGTATTTAAGAAGCATAACTGAATTATGGGTAGTCAGCCAAAAGCTTATTGAAATAATACTGTACTCTTGTTACCAAATATGCTAAGACAAATGTGTAAGTAACTTGTGCCAGCCGTGGCCATTTTCGGGGGAGCCTGGGTTAAGTTACAGAGGTGTGATTGAACTTAAACATAACAAAAAACCTAAAGGGAACTGTTATATAAAAGGTCTGACAACAGAGTAGCCAAATGCAGCACAGTACACTATAGTTTTAGCTTAAAATTGTTAGTAGTAGTAGTAGTGAGTGATGTAACCAAATATATTTGATGCAGCGTTGCTATAATGCATATAGTGGTGTTAAGGTACTCGGAGCGAGAGCAACCTGGATTCTTGTTTCTGCTTCTAAGGTTATATTGTCTAATGTTTGTCTGTGGAGTATTGGTGCTCTTGTAGTGGTAGAGATGTCGGTACCACGAGGTGTGTGCATGCATAATGGTGTCCTTCCCAGAATTCTCTGGAAGAAGTGACCTAGATGTGGGCATGCACAGTGGTGCCAGAAACATTGGTGAGAAGAATCTGGGGTAAATGCAAACCGTCATCTTGATTGACCGTAAGATTGTAACTGATTGGTATCAGTAACAAATGGCAACCTGATTTGATTGGATGACAATGCGTGGCATGATATGAAATGCTTGGAGCTATAAAAGGAGCATGTGTCAGAGTCAGCATGGCGAATGTGGCAAGTGAGTGGTTTGCATGTGGAGGCAGGCGAAGGTATTTGGTACTTTGAGAGAGTGGTGATCTCTAATGGTGCGACCTTCTGTGGCCCTCATCCACCCCTGGACATCTGGGGGATCTCCTTGTAAGTGTAAGGTCTGAGACTTTGTGGATAGAAAGAGCCTGTTGCTTAATGCTATGAGAGTAGTCCAACTGCTCTAGGATTGTAATAAGGAGAAAAGAGCTCCAAAGCCCCTCAGAAGAACCCTTCTATTGTGAGTGGAAGTACAGAGCTCTTAACTTGTGTGCCTCTGTGGTGAACTGGAGGAGGGCTTTGTCCTGTTGTATTGACTATGGAGTTGATGAACCCATAAGGGGCTCCATAGTGCTAGAGAGCATACATGTGAGCGTGAGCTTGTTGGTTGGTTGCAAAGCTGTGGTGTCTCTTGTAAAGAAAATGTATATATACAAATAGTTTTGTATTATTATTGTTGTTGTTATCAATACATATTATATATTTCGTGTATTTAATTTTGTGGATTAATAAACTAATATTCTACAGAAACAAGCTGGTCCCTAAGCCAGTAGTGCTACCCAGCACTATTGGTCAGCTTGGGTTGACCTCAGTAACACTTTTCACCCCTTTCCAACCCCAGTGAAAGCGGGGTTCAGGCTTCCCCCAAAATCCTAGGTGCAACACTCTCAATTCCTCTTGAATTAAAACCACTTCTTTAAACAATAGTTCTGTTTCCATAATGAAAGGACTTCACCCTTACTAGAAGCTCCTCTACTCTTACTTCCACCGGAACAGAGGAACTGTGCTCTGAAGACAGGGGTAGCAGCATATGTGAGTCATGCTGGCTCCTGATAAGTGGCTTGAGACTGAAGGCTGAGGCTACTTTCTTTGGTGACCTAATGTGGTAAGTAGAGGACAAGTTTGATAGTTTTGTGGTGGCCTGTGTTACCAATTAAGTGAACTTCTGCATTTTGTATAAGATGTGTCAGAGAAAGTGTCTTGGCAAATTGCATTGCTATAGATGGGTTAATGAGAAAAGGGCCATGTATTATTGAAATCAGGCCACAGCCACAAAGATGGGACACAGTCCCATGCCCAGTTAGAGGCACAGAGTCAGAGCAGACATGACTTACACAGCAGCTTAGCAAGGAGCCCAGCAGTAGGACTCTTACACTGCTGTCTGTGGCTATGTCTACCTTGCGTCTCTCTTGGGACTGATGCCAAACAATAAGTCTTGTCTACATGCTTCTGTTCCACATGCTCCAAACTCAGAAATGCAGCACTCTGGGGATACCTCCTGTTGCTCCTCTCAAGTGTCCCAGAGAGAGATCCAGGAGTGCCAGTGGGAGCTATCCGTGAAGTGTCCTCACTACTGCATTTCTGAATTCAGAGCATATGGAGCAGAAGTGGGTGAATGGAGACTGATTTTTCAGTGGCAGATCCAGGAGCAGTGTGGAGCCAGTGCAGGTGCACCCTGGCTTGACTTGCTGTGATGATGTGGGTTTGATGTGAATTTCTGTGCCAGCAAATATGACTTTGGGCATGGTAAGATTTAATTTAATCCATTTCTCATTATCCTTCAGAAGAACTCAGCCAAACAGCTGCTGGCTGATCATGGTGGTGCTGTTTATTATGAAAGAGGGAGAAAGGTAGCAAGCTGTGTGTTAGCTGTGGATATGTCTATTTGCTTGGAGCAGCAGTTCTCAACCAGGGTACCACGATAGCCCTTCTAGGGTGCCACAGAATGCTACACAAAGTTAGCATTGTTAGGTGTGCAAACATGATTTACATTTTACAAGATAAACCCAGAGGTGTCAAATAGGAATCCATAGTGTTAAAAACATTCTGAACTATTGGGCTTTCTCAATTCTTTGAAATAGAATGGTTCTATTATTGCGCTGTAGTAAAAAAAAGACTGAAAACTAAGAGCTGACAGTTTCCAAGGGGTGCTTTGAGTCTATTGATGGGTGCCTTGAGTCTCAAAGAATCGAAAACCACGGGCTTAGAGATTTGTTGGCCTGGGTTGCACAGGAGGTCAGACTAGATGACCGTTCTTCCTGGTCTTCAAAATCTATGAATTTCTGCATTGGCAGTGGAGGCCGAATAGGACCAGAAAGGGAAGAAGAGAGAGGCAGAGAAGGGTTTAATAGATTTCATAGACATTATGGCTGGAAGGGACCTCGCAAGATCATTGTGTCCAGCCCCCTGCCCAAAGGGCAAGAAGTCAGCTGGGATCAGATGACCCCAGAAAGATAATCATCTGAACAGTTCTTGAACATGTCCAGAGTAGATGCTTGCACCACTATAGCAAGGATCCACTGGAGCTGGCTGCCAGGGAGTAGGCATGGAACCAGTGTGACTGGAAAGGTGCGGCGTTTCAATTCAAATGGCTCCAGGCTACTGTGGATTTCCTAACATTTGTCTTGTCTTGGGGGGACTTTTGGAGCTGAAGTCTCAAATTATTTTGCTGGGAGAGAGGGGTAGGACAAATTCTCTAAAGCCATTTGGTGAGTTTGCTTCCTCTTGACCCTCAACCGCAGGCTTTACTGCAGAAAGAGTTGATTTAGATTGTGGTTTCATGTGCACTAAAATAGACTTCTGCTTCAATGATTCCACCTTCTAATATGTCAGTATTTCACTCATGTGTACTTGTTCAAAGCTAGCTCTTACATGCTAAGATCTTTATTTTACTTTTAAAGTTTGTTGTTTCAAAAACACTGTGAAATATTATGTGATGCTGTACTCTGAATGCCAGGGAAATCAGGGCAAATTCTCTGCTGTGTCCAACTCAGTTAGAGCAGGGTTATTCTAATTGTAATAGCTGCTTAAGGACTTGTCTACAGTATAGCAGCAATGTGTCTTGGCTGCAAGTCCCCTGGCTAGATCACACCCATCCCAACACAGGCCTTCCCAAAGCCCTGGAGTATGCCAGTGAAGCTGCTCAGACATCCCTCTGCTGCCACTCTCCATAGGCTGGTACTGAGATCTGATTGCTGCTGTGACTGCAGTTCATGTGGACATGCCCGATGTAGCTTTAAACCAGCTAGCTTGGTTTAAAGCTACACACAATGACAGTGTGGCACATGAACATGGAGCTCAGCAGAAGCTGCACAGTCTTGGGTAAAAAACGGTGGTTAGCCTTCTCTGAACTCTTTGTTGCCAAGGTTACACTGTTATCAAATCTCTGAACTAGCTAGATTATCTCAAGTATGTCTATGCAGATTGCAGTGTAGATTTATCTATGCTCTGCTACCCACTTTTTCTCTTTCTAAATTTCTTCCCCTACACTCATACATCTTTTCAGTTGATGATGAATTCAGTTGCAAGTTCAATAATTAATTTCATTTCAGTATTTTAAATTAAACAGCAGAGGGTACCCTAATTCCTTTCCTTTAACAACTTC